TTATAGATTTTTCTTTTATGCCAAAAATCATTAGTATATTAAGTAAAGATCATGTTCCATGAAGATATTTTGTACATTTCCTACTGTAAATATATCAAAACTTAATTTTTGATTAGTAATATGCATTGCTAAGAACTTCATTTTGGACAACTTTAAAGATGATTTTCTCAATATTTAGATTTTTATGCACTCTCAGATTCCAGATTTTCAAATAGTTGTATCTCGACCAAATATTGTCCTATCCTAACAAACCATACATCAATGGAAAGCTTATTTATTCAGCTGATATATATTATAAATGGTCCAGGGTCACATATTTATTATTAATTAAATAATATTTATTATACCATTTATTAAACTATTACTATTTACTATTTAGTATTGTACCATTTTTTTCTGAATGTGTCTCACTGGCAAATAGTTCTTCTGGTTTTAAGATAATCATAAATCTTACCAAATTATTTTAGATTTATACTGACAACACACAAAAAAAAACAACGATTTGCCAATGTGGTAAGAAAAATAAACATAATACAAAATATATTCTTTCTAAATTAACATCACATGCAGTTTTACTTTTAAGTATATTTATAGTTTTAGGAACAGTTCAGATATTTAAAAAATATATCAAATTAATCAAATCAAATTTAATTTGATTTATAAAATTGGCAAAATTAAAAAATAAAATGAAATGTATTACAATTAATTAAAAATATTCATTATCATTAAAAATAAATTAAGAAAATTATTTAAAAGGTTAATTACATCAAATTTTAGGACTGAAAGATTAACAGAACTGAATGCAATGAAAATAATTTGGGTTCAGTTCTAAATAAGAACCAGTTCTCAATCCTAGAAAAGAGGGTGTTTGAGATGGTAAAAAACTCAGGGATGGACAGTAAAAGGATTAGCAAGATAAAATAGGTGAAGTATGAAAAAATAGATGGCGTTCTGTGCATGTTTAAGATCTCTTATGTTACCTGTAGGCTCCGCCGTTGAGCTCCGGATGTACCTGCTGCTCCATCACCCCCCACGGCGCCGTAGTCACAAAAAACTCTTTGTTGACGCAGTTTCTGAGACTGTCTGGAATACGACCTGAAAACCAGAACAAACCCGAGACATGATGACTGATGTACAATAGGATGGATAGTTTATAAAAAGAACTAGATTTACATTCCCTGAAGGAAGTACAAGTGCTCGCTAGGCAGCGAAAGACTAATGTTTGAGGTAAAAAAAGAAAGTTTAAAAAATTTTGCGATAGAGATAGAAGTGAGAGAAAGAGAGATAAATCAGGACCCCCCCCACTTCACAGCTCACATGCAATTAACCATAATTAAGCATGTAGCCCATTGATAATCACAATGTTGTACGCAAATTCTATGATGATATCCTCATGAGAAGTGGTTACATTTTGAATAGCAAACATTCTAAGAAGTTGTACCGGTGATGGCCCTGCGGATCTCAGTGGCCGCTGCCTCTCTCATCTCAAGTGAGGCCTGCTCACTGTACCACGCCGTGTGAGGGGTGCAGATCAGATTGGGCGCGTCCTTCAGAGGACCCTGAGAAAAACTGAGAGAAAGACATCTCATTTTGCGCACTAAATCTCATTTTTACTACACATTGAACTTCACTGGTCATGTGCATACGCTACCGTCAGTAAGATTTTTAACATGTTTTTGAAAAAGTCTCTTATGCTCATTGGGCTGCATTTATTTGATTAGAAATACTGTAAAAACAGTGAAATATTATTACAATTTAAACAAACTATTTTCTATATGAATATGTTGTAAAATGTGATTTATTCCTGTGATGCAAAGCTAGGATGCACTAATCCTAATTTTGCATATTATATAGAAATAATAGCGTGCAAATGTAGGTGCAGCTGAAGAAATGTTTGGAGTTGCAGCAAAGTAACACGGAGATTGGATTACAATTAGGATGTCATTCCAAATGTTACCTGAAGGGTTCAGACTCGTGAACGTCCAGGGCGGCCCCCCGTATCCTGCCCTCTTTGAGAGCCTGAGCCAGGGCTTTTTCATCCACCAGACCCCCTCGTGCTGTGTTGACTAGAAATGCTCCCTGTCGCATCTAACAAAACATCATACATGATGTTCACACAACAGCCACTAGATGGCGCTCATGATAGCAGGAATGGGTTTAATGGGCCGTTTGTGGGTAATGTACCTGTTTGATGGTGAAGTCGTTGATGAGGTGGTGATTGTGTTCGTTTAGGTTGCAGTGGAGAGACACACAGTCGCTCTGGTACAGGAGGTCCTGCAAGGTGTAAACTCTCTGGACGCCCAGCGATCGCTCTAAACCGTCTTGCAGGTACGGGTCATAAAAGATCACATTGAAGCCAAATGCTTTCGCTCGAACAGCCACTGCCTGTCCCGATCGGCCTATGAGACAAAGATGGCATATATAACTTGTATGGTGCTTTTTTTTTTGTCGTTATTAGAGCTTGGAAAACCTGTTGTCACCACTGACTTTAGTTATATGAAAAAAAATTTCACACGAGTGACCTGACTAGATGATGACATCATTTATTTGAACTATTCCTGTAGTATATGTTCATGTCATACTGTATCTACCGGTCAAAAGCTAACACTTAATCAAATTTTTCTTGAACGCTTGAAATTAGTCTTGTATACAGTGACAAATTTTGCCTATATATGAATATCAACATATGAAGATTTTTGATCTCTACATAATTCCCATAATTTAATTTGCATTATTTCATAGTTGTGATGACTTTGCGGTTACAAAAACAGTAAATAAGATTATGTTCATTCAACTAAATCAGTTTATTTAATATAATAAATAATAACAATTAGCTTGATTTTATGATTATGATAAATAATTAGTTCAATAATAATAGCAATAATTTTCATTAAATGAAATTAGCAAGCATTATTATTATTATTATATGCTTACCACAATTGCATAACTGTCATTTTAGTATTATTTATATACAATTATAGTATTTATTAATATTTTGACTAACTTTAATTTTTATATTGAATATAATTTTATATTTTAATATATTTTATTTTTTATTTCAGTTTTCATTTTAAAGTATAGTTTAGGTTTTAGTAATTTGTAGTAAATTTGAATTAAAATTTGAATTCAGTTGTAGTTTTAATCATTTTTGCAAGTCTATTTTTGCAAACGTTTTTATTTTTATGCTATGTAATAATATTTATATTTTATGTAATACATTATTTCAATTAACAAAAACATTTTTTTATAGTTTTAGTTAATAACAACAACACATTTGTAAAATATTGTAACGTTTTAGTGTTTCTGTCCCTCACCAAAGCCAATAAGTCCGAGTGTTTCTCCTCTGATGCGGGCGGCCCCTGACGCCACCTCTCTGATCTGCTCCACGCTCTGGACCCGTGTGCCCTCACGCATGGCCTGGTACAGCCAGGTGTTCCTCCTGTACAGGTTCAGGATGTGGCAAAGCGTTGAGTCTGCCGTCTCCTCCACAGCAGCTGATGGAATATTACACACCGCAATACCTGCAGACATGCACTAATGTTAGGCAACATGAAAAGATTCATATTTACATATCAGAGCACTCAATAAACCAGATTCAAATGGCCTCAGATGATCTATTAACGCTCCCTGATCCCGTCTTCTCTCCATTCATGGATTTGACCTGTATTAAGCTGTATCTGTAATATTTCTCCTTTTATTCTAACCATATAAACATCTGTCCCAGAGGAACAATTAGCCCTCCTGTACCTCCTTCTGTCTCTGACGGTCTTCTCGTCGCTGTTTGACTCCTCAAACATTCAAACATCCAACCTTTACTCACCACTTGCAGAGTACTTTGTATTTCTCAACAACCATTGAACCTGGTTTCTGAGCTAAGCAGTATTTGATGTCAGTAGTGTGTTTTCTGTGAGGAGAGCATCTTGATACTAAGTATCAGACTATATGAGCATTTAGAATCAAAGCACACCTTTAAGGCCCGTTCACACCAAGAACGATAACTATAAAGATAACGATATTAGCGTCCACACCAGCGAATTATATCGTCTGTTTATTCTAAGCACACGCGTGTCTGTCGCTTTAAATTCTCGAGCTCGATACAGCAGGATGGATTCTGATTGGCTGTCAATGTTTTTATGGTTCATCAGCTGGAAAAAAAATCGCTCTGAAAGTGATTCCAACGATATCGTTTCTCTGGGACTTATAGTTGTTATAGTTGTGGTGTGGACTCTGCTATTCTTTAATATTGAGAACGATTTTTAGAACTATATCTTTATCGTTTTCTTTATAGTTATCGTCATTGGTGTGAACGGGCCTTAAGACATTCTACATTTTATTTGCTAAGGCTTTTTACATTACCATCTATCAATTAGGTTTCTCGTTGTCATTAATTAGGTGTATACCATTGTCCAGAAAGCTGCTAAAACAACATGGTACTTAGATTCTTTAAACAAGATTTTTTTTTTTTATATAACACGTTATGTATAATGCATTACATTGCTATTCATATGTTGTAATGCATTTTATTTTAAACTGTAAATAAAGTTAAAACGCAATATAGTACTTGCAGATTCCTTGTTACATCTGCATCTGGTTGTTTGTCATATGCTTGTGTAACAATCAATAGATAAGCATTATAAATGTATTATAACTGGTTACAAATTATACATTAGATAATACTAGGATGCATTACATTTACAAGGCATAATTAATGCATTAAAATACTTTTAAAATGCATTATATATAAAGGCCTCAACTAAAGTGTTACTGTTTTTATTATTATTGTTGTTGTTGTTATTTTTGGTCAAACTTACATTTGTATGTCTTCACAAAAAAATATATTCTGAAGAATGTTGGTAACCGGACAGTTGCTGGTAGTCACTGACTTTCAAAGCATGGACAAAAATACTATGAATGTCAATGGCTACCATCAACTTTTTTTTTTACCAACATTCTTCAGAATATCTTCTTTGTGCTCAACAGAAGAAAGAAACTCATACGGGTTGGAGCACTTTAAGGGTGAGTAAATGATGACAGAATTTTCATTTTTGGGTGAACAAAAATTGTGACCAGGAAACATTTCTTAGCATTTGTAATGCTCTTACCCATCTCTCCAGCTGCTTTAATATCAATATTGTCATATCCACTACCGATGCGGATTATGATTCGGAGGGCTTTAAATTTCTCCAGATCTTCTCTGGTCAGAGTGATGGTGTGGTACATCATCGCCCCCACCGCCTCGTTCAACACCTGCCACAGATACATTTATACCACACTATAAACATCAGAGAATAAAGCCGTGGGGTGTTTATTAAGGACACATAAATCATTTCTTTGTAGCATCCTATGTGGGTGTAATGCATTTCTCATGATGAGCTTGCCATGTTCATCTACATGTCATTTCATGCATTTACTCACAGATAATTGTTGGTTTTTACTCTGTGCAATTACACACATTACAAACACGCAATTCTGAATCCAACAGCAATAAAAGACATGATTAAACTTAACAAGCAATTTTCCCTTGTGATGAAACAGTCATATAAACACCTAGTCAGTCAGTCAGTAACAGATTCTCATAGCTGGCGCATTTGATCAATTATTCAAAAGTGAATCAGACAACAGTGGTCGTGGTATTTGTTGCTGCATGCTTGTTTGTTATTTATTTACGGTCTGATTTAATTTTAAGTAGAAAAACAGCATTGGAGTAGATAAGTATAGAAAAATGCAGAAATAATGGTTCTTCTGATATAGACAGTCCAATTATATTTACATATCTATATAAATATTTTGCAGCATTGGAGTAGATAAGTATAGAAAAATGCAGAAATAATGGTTCTTCTGATATAGACAGTCCAATTATATTTACATATCTATATAAATATTTTGCAGTACCCTGTATCTGTTTGTTTGAAATTATGGTTCCTGATAGAAAAAAAAGTTTTAAATATTGAGATATTTTGAATATTGGCTAAAGGTTTAAATAAATAAATAAATAAATACATAAGACAGTCCAATGTGATATATATAATGAGACGCATATATACACACACACATACATACATACATAATTAATTTACTCCAATATTGGAAACTGTAATAAATATATTATATATATATATATATATATTTATTTATTACAGTTTCCAATATTGGAGTATTCAATTTTAAATTAAAATACTTTTCAACTAAAACAAAATGTTTGCTGTGCTGCTAGTGATGCAGGAAAAAATAGTTCAAACAGACCTTCTCATGGATTTCCTGTGTTGACTGAGCGTCACAGAACGCCACAGTGGCCAAATCCTTCAGGATGGGCATCTCTACGGTACAGTCCCTCCCGTCCAGCAGAGCGACCAGTGGCCGAGGATGCATCGGACCGTTCATGATTTGCGGCCTTATACCTGCAAAGAGAGAGAGAGAGAAGCATGAACTTCCCGTTTGCCCCCCTGCCATGTGTCTTGTTGTCATGGAGATTACAGCATTTGGGCAGAGTTATGAATACATTTTATTTAATAGCCTTTGGGGAAACATCTTGCTCTCTGCTTTCTGTCTTTTCACTCTCCACCATCTATTTAAAAAGTAGATTTAATTTAAAAGAAATTTAAAAACTTCAAATGAGAATTATTTACCAGAGCATTATTAAAAAATAATTGTGTGGGAGATGTTAAGGCAGAGTTGGGACTCTTGGAGGGAAGCGCAATGGATGCGAGAGATCAGGGGTCTGGCACGCTTTAAATGAGCAGTGGACACATCAAACAGAAACACAAATGACATGCTGGAGCGATCGCTACATCAGAGCGGGAGAAATCAGAGAGGGAAGGACAGACAATTGGGCTCTCAGAAGACACACACGCACACGCGCGCGCACTCCTTCATGTAGGTGCTCAACCAATCAATGTTCACAAAACTGTGCCGACTGTTCATTTTCCAACCCATAAACAATTTCAGAGCTCTAAAAGCTTTTTTGGACAAGAACAACGAAGATAAACTTAAACTCAGTGATTTTTAAACAAACAGAGCCTGAGCCGAGCAGTACACGACCATTATCCAGTCAGAGACCAGCAGGGGAATTATCTAATAAGAGAGCGGCAGGGGAAATCTCGGCCCTTCGGCCATTCTCCACGGGCATCTCCACATTTACTCTGATCACAGAGAACAAAAGATCCCGACAAAACATCGATTTCTGAGATGAGAGGCTTTTTATTTGTTATTGCTATCACAAAGTCTTTCCAGTTTTCTCCCAGCGGGGATACATTTTTTACATACCCTCATTTTGTTTCAAAACCCATGACATTCTCTCTTCCTTGGAACACAGCTCCAAAGAGATTTTTTTAAAAAATTTTTTACATTTTACATTTGCATTTTAATTTCAGTTAAAAAATTTTTAATTTTTTTGTGTTGTCATTTTTAGTTGCTATAGTTTTTTTATACGTCATATTTCAGTTTTATCTTTAGTTACTTTAGTACATCAATTAAACTGAAATAGCTGATTTATAGCTGATTTTTTAAAATATATTTATAAAACTTTATATTTTTTTAATATTGCATTTTATTTTCAGTTAACGTTTATTTTAAGTAATGTTTATTTTTATGGTTTTGATTTTAGTTTCCGTTTTAGTTAACTATGATAACCCTGTACACTATGATAAGAAAAATAATTGTTTCCCCTTTTAATAAAGTTAATTTTTCATACAACGCTGTCAGATTTCTTGTTTTAAGCATAAACTCACTTAATTTTGATACATTTTTCAAATAAGTATATCTGAAAATACTAAGATTATTTTTTTTTTGCAGTGACCAATACTGAACACCATTGGTTCTTGCATGTCATGTGACCAATCACAATGCGGAAAGATCAAATTTACGTTATATTTAAGAGCTACAGGCAAAGAGAAGCAAACAATAACTTACATTTTGGTCTGTTTGTAATAAATCGGAATATTTCCTATTAGCACAGACTACTTTTAGGGTGCCTTTTTTGGAGCAGTATATGATGGCTTTTGTTAAACAGAAAAAGCAGTGTGAACATTTTACCAAACATCTCCATTTGTGTTCCATCATAAAGTTTGAAAGAACACAAAGGTAAGTAAATAATGACAGATTTTTTAGTTTTGAGTGAACTATCCCTGTAATGCATGTGAAACTAATGAGAGTAGAGCAAGCGAGAGAAATGTAATACTCTCTTTGAAATCCCATGAACAATAAAACTCTGTAAAAACAAAAGGAAATGAGGAGATTTTTCCATGGAGCCGCGTTGACGTGGATCTGTGTGTGTCTGTGTGTTGTAATATGGCAGCGTGTACATCACACCGTATGTGTGAGTTTCCCCACCTCTTGCTTAAGTGTGCCGCTGTGATTTTAATAAGTGTGTGTGTATGTGTGTGAGTGTGTGTGACAAGCAATCTTGGATTAAAAAAAACAAAAAAACCTGGCAGCCAAGTGCCTCACCTCACTGTCAACTGCTGCTTGTGGTTACCAAGCAACCTCATTTCTCACCGTCACACAATAAACACACACACAACCACACATGCATGCACAAACAACAAAAAAAATCTTTCGGAAATGCAAAACACACTTTTTTGCTCCAAACCAAATAGACACTTGCAGGAAAATCAGTTAAAACAGTCAGATCACTGAAAGGCAGCCCAGGACCTGAAATAAACCAGGTGCATGTGTGAGTGTCTAATAAGAGTGTATCTGTGCTGCGTCACTTTTTCTTCTCTCTCCACCCCACCTGATCTATTAACCAGGGATTTGGCTGCCAAACACACACACTAATAATAAGGAGTCAGGCGCACAATACACTGTGTGTGTTTGCACACACACGCAAACTAGTTTACAGATGTGTCACAGACAGCAGCCAAGACATGCGCTTGTGACACCACTGAGAACTGTGCACACACCACATACACACATATGCATGCATGCAAACACGCACGCACGCACACTTTTTCTTTTGGCCGATTTCGGAAACATGCGTCTTGCCTGGAAAATGCTGCCTCCACATTCCTCCCATGAAGAGCAGCCCAAAAAACGGGGGAGAAAAAAAATGGAGGGAGGTGGCAGAGAAAAAGCGTTCTCCTCTGATTGTGTCCTGGGGGTCTCTCCCTCCTCTCGCTGTCTGTCTGTCGCACGCTCACTCCCCAAACAAACAAACAAGGAATGATTGAAAGACTGATAGATCGAAACATTGACTGATTGGTTGAAATCAAGTAATGAATCAATAAACAAATATATGCTTGAAAAAAAAAAGTTTGAACAAACAAATGAACCAACAAACAAAAAGGAAAAAATAAACTAAAAGGTCCTAAACAAACAAACACAAATAAATAAAAGAAAAAACATCAAACTACTGACCAAAAATGAAAAATAATGAATGAATGTCAAATTAATGAAATAAACATAAAAAAATGCATGTGAATAAACAAATAAAATGAAAAGAAAAAACAACTAGGCCAAACAAAGTAAATGACCAAACAAACAAGGAAAAGAACAAATGAATGAATGAAACACAAATGAAAAAAGACCCAAACAAAAGAACAAAAAAAAATGAATGAAGAAAATATGAACAAACGGCCAAACAATGAACATAATAAATGAATGAGCATCAAATGAATGAAAGAACAAACAAATAAATGTTTAAACAAGCAAATGCACCAACAAAAAAGAACGAACAAATGAATGAAAGAACAAACTTTAAATTAATGAAAGAATAAATAAATCAACAAATGAAAGGACAAACTATAAAATGTGACCCTGGACCATAAAAGCAGTCTTAAGTCGCTGGCGTATATTTGTAGCAATAGCCAAAAATACATTGTATGGGTCAAAATTATTGATTTTTCTTTTATGCCAAAAATCATTAGGATATTAAGTAAAGATCATGTTCCATGAAGATATTTTGTAAATGTCCTACCGTAAACATATTAAAACTTAATTTTTGATTAGTAATATGCATTGCTAAGAACTTCATTTGGACAATTTAAAGGTGATTTTCTCAATATTTTGATTTTTTGCACCCTCAGATTCCAGATATTCAAATAGTTGTATCTCAGCCAAATATTGTCCGATCCTAA